GAAGCAAAAAAATAAAGATAAACAATTTTCTAATTTTTTGGAAATTTTGAGGAAATTAAGGATAAACATTCCATTTGTTGAAGCTTTGGAACAAATCTTTAAAATATATATTTTTTTTATTTTGCTCTTCACGAAAGGATATACTTAGGCCCCGTTTGACGCAGCTTATTACCTGCGTCCAGCGTTTTCAAAACGCCGCGTCTGAGTTTGTTTCGGCGTTCGCTCCTGCGATCGCTAAACGCTGCGTTAAAATGGCGCTATTCGATTCGGTCCCGAAGAAGCTCCCGACATCCTGCGTTCGGCGTTCGGCGGGGGCTTATTACGGCCCAGCCCTCGTCCTCCCCGAAATCTCCCTCACGCTGCGCCCTCGTCCTCCCCGAAATCTCCCTCACGCTGCGCCCTCGTCCTCCCCGAAATCTCCCTCACGCTCGCTCGTTCCCGTCGCAAATTTCCGCAGGCCGCATATCTCCGTCGCAGATCTCCGCAAGCCCTCGTTGTCGCCCGCAGATCGCAGCTCTTCGGACCTCGCCCCGCTCCGCATCCCTCGATCTACCGCACCTCGGCCCGCGATCTACCGCACCTCGGCCCGCAGATCGCAGTTCAGTCGTTCTCGCCCGCAGATCGCAGATCTCCGCACCTCGCCCCGCTCCGCAGCCCTCGATCTACCGCAGAAAGGGTTTCTGCTCTGGAGATTGAGGTGAGTGATCAAATTTGTTGTTTTGTTGCTGCTGTAAGGTTGGGAATTTTGATTTGCTGTTGTTCTGTAGTTAGAATGTAGGATTCAATTTTTATAAGTTAAAATAGTTGTATTTATAAGTTAAAAAATTGCTGTTGTTCTGTAGTTAAAACCCTTTGGTTGCAATCCACCAATCGATCACAAATCACAAAGCATTAAAGGGTGTATATCCATTTTTATAAGTTAAAATAGTTGTATTTTTTGTGGTTTGAAGGATTTGGGTGGTATGAAAACAAAAACAAAATAGGTGTTAGATTGTTAATACAACAGAATTGGGTGGTATGTATGTAAATGCCACTTTATTTGTTGCTCTTTTGTTGCATAATGATTGAGTCCTCTTTTTGAATTTGCTTTTAATCCTCTTATTTTTTTGTACATGGAGAAGAAGCTACTATTTGAATTTCCAAATTATTGTCTTTTATGTAATCTGCTATAAAGTTTAAATATTGTTGAGCTTTTACAGGGACTGGCCAACACTTAGCACATAAAGATTCAAAAGAAAATTAGAATAGAAGCCACAATTTCAGAATTAGAATAGCCACATGCATCCTTTGCAAGAATGTGGCCAACACTTAGCACATAAAGATTCAAAAGAAAATTGTCGTTCAAGCTTTTGGGTAGGAAATAGCACAAACCTTGCAAACTTGAAGATTAGCTAACCTTTTCATCATTTCTACATTTCAATATACATGCATAGAATATAACCATTATTGTCAAAACTCGGATCCTCACAAAAATTTTCATTTGGTACTTCATGTCCTAGTAGTTTATATAATATAAATTCGATCATATACTCCTTCACAAAAGAATCTCTCCGGTGTTGATTATAGAGTTTTAGGAACGTCTTTTCAGTAATGTGAAAGAGTATTTGCGAAGCATCTTCCTCTTTACCTTAGGTCATGTGGTGATCTTACTCTTCTATTATCATTGTCGAAGACGCTTCCTATCTTCTATGATCAATATATTTTTTTTTTTCTTATGAAGTGTTTATTTACCCTCATGTTTTTGGTTTGATCATGTTATAATAATTGTTTTTGCCATTATATATCCTCATAGATCATTTATATTCAATCATTAGTTCTTTTTAGCAGCAAAAGTTTACTAATTTCTTTGATTGTTGCTCTAAATTTAGATTCCACACTTTTTGTCTACACCACTTCTTCTTAGTTCACGTAATACATTTTCATAAGAGCAATTGCAATAACTTGAAGTTGATTATTATGGCCTTGTGGTTTCAGAGTTCTATGTTTTTTTTTTAATAGAGAATCCCCTTCTCCGTGTTTGATTTGAAATACCCGAGAACACGATAAGTAGCTTGAAGGTTGGCAAAATATCTAACTACAGAATTAACTATTGCTGAATTTGGCAAAAGCTATTGCTAATAATGTAATAAGCTATTGCTGAATGAAAGCAAG